CAAAATGGCTTAAAGAGGACTCCTATTGAATTTGAGATCAAAAGAACAAGATTTCTTTAGTTTTCTTTTGCAATGAAATTTAAGGTGGTAATGAATTTCTTTAGCTGAAAGAGGACTCCTATTGAATTTAAGGCCAAAAACTGAAAGGCCAAGGAGGACATTTTGTTTCTCCATCTGAATATTTTTATCAGGACTTCCAGTCTTTTCTTTCTTCTTAAAGCGGTGGTCACAAATTTCCTGAATTAGCTTGTTTTACTTTTACCTAGAGTATTGTATTCTATTTACGATTATCATGAAACCAGGAATAAGACATTCTTTTTATTCTGTGAGTGTACAAGTATTTATAATACTCTTTTACACATCAAAATCGCTACCTTCTCTTGAATTTTAAATAGAAAATATTCACTAAGATAATAAAATGCATTGTCTAAAGGGTAGCTTTCTCAATAAATGGATGTACTAAATGAATAAACAGGAAACAAGAAGGTACAAGAATAAAACTGATAATAATTTTCATAATTTTTCAACTCTTCGTTATATATATCCGTAGTTTATGAACATGATATAAATATCTGAGTCATCGATTCTGCGATTGAATACCCAGCTTTTGCAATTTGAATAGAAGATATTAGTTTCTTGGTTGTAAAGGCACATTTAAAAAGCTAATAAGATTTGTGGAAGATCCTCAAATATTGTGTATACTAAGGAGAGACCTAAAGCACATGCGTCATCATCTTCGTCATCATTGCTACAGTATATAATTTGCTCTTGTTTATAGCCATTCTCTGTAACCACTTAATTTTTTTGCACGCATGTCACCAAATTTGATGAAAGTTTGCCCTTTATTACAACTTGACACGTCGCCCGCGTGGGGCAGTGGTTAGAGTGTATGCTCTAGAGTCTCGGAGTAAGTAGTTGATTTTTACGTCACTGGTTCGAATCCCACTGCGGGACTTGGAGAACGATGCTTCAATTGACACCGTATAAACCGAGGTCCCGTGTCGCAGTAGGTGCTTGCACGAAAGAGATCCCTCACTGCTCAAAGGCCTTAAGTGCCGAGTATAGGTCTAAATTTGCATCCCTCCACCGGCAAGTGGTGGCGTCTCCATATGAATGAAAAGTTCTCGAGAGGGACGTTAAAAAACAAACAAACAATACAAATTAATACCTGAAACATATATCAAATTTGATGTATGACTTTATCATTGTTAAAAAGAGATGATTGACCATTATTGACATACAGTATCTAAATTGGATAGTTACATGTATAATTCTAAATCTTGGTAGGCCTGAAGGAATCGGGAGGGGGTCCCCTTCTCTTTAATAACATAACCAGCATATACTATACCATCGAAGCATTCTTGTTTATGTTTGTCCCTCCTTATTAATAACGTCTGATTACATTTTCTTTCCTTTTTTATATTCTCTGAAAATTGCCGTTTAAACATGTCCTATATATTTATAGAAAATGGTTTCTCCAAATCTTGTTGCTTCTCTGAAATTAAATCGAAAGTTTGTATGTAAGTTTGTGTTTTATGATATAATAGAATATGTTTCTACTGCATCGACAATGAATGCATGAATTTAAAAATAAAAAGAAATTATTAACTTTTAACCAGTAGAGAGAGAGAGAGAGTTCTGTGTATCAAATAAACTGCGGTTGCAAAAATAAAGCATGGAGCATAATAAATATTAATATATCCTATTCATGTATTTTCGCTTATGTAAATATTTGCTCTTCCATATAGTTTAATCCCTTAAAGGCCAAGTGCGCCTTTTGACGCATTTTCAGCATCACAGATATTTAACAGTTGGCGTTATGTAATGATATATGTAGACATAACGAACTGCATTCGAGCTCAAAAGTCCGTTAAACATTACAAAATAGGAGCAGAGCAAACACGGACCTCTAGGACATCAGAGGGTGGATCAGGTGCTATGGAGGAGTGAGCATCCCCTGCCGACCGGTCATACCCGCCGTGTGCTCCTTGTCATGATCGGGAAATAACGGAAAAATCCATCGACAATTCAGTGTGTAAATAATGGTCTAACAATTAGTATGAAAAAAGTCAGTCAGCATTTGACTTAATGAAAGATTGTATTTGCTGACAAGGTCATTGTATTGTACTGATATTCTTGTTTCATCAACTTGTTTGTCAATAACTTACTTCGTTTTAGAAATTGTTCATACGTAGAGTATGCTCTGGCGTATCGAATCAACTGAGAGATATAAACCCCGTATGCAGGTGATAAGGATGCATAGGTAAGAGAAGTTGACAATTGGCAAGTTAAAGTCATCACGTTTATCATAAAGCTTGGTTGTTAGATTATCATTAACGTTTTTTCTAACAAAATATTCAAATGTGAAACAGATATGTCACAATCTGTGGTATCTTTTATCTCAAGCTCACCGGGATACATCGACATAAGAATGGAAATAACCATTGTTAATTGACAATAAGTCGTCGATATATCTAAAAGTCGAGTTGAAAGCCACAGCAAGTGTTTTCTTCTTTTCATGTAAAAGATTCTGAACAAATTCTGCTTGATATGAATACAAAAATAAGTCTGCTAATAACGGGGAGCAATAAATAATTGAGATACAACAAAACAATTGATATTTTCTGAAAATAGATAAGAAACTAAACATTGTTTTCTGCTCAAAGTTTTTCTGTGTGATGTTAAATCTTAAAAACGAAAAATGTATACAACAAATTACTTACCTTCAATATTTAACGGCTGCATGTTTTTCCAGACTAGTTCGATTGTCAATTTTTTTTTTAATTCTTATAATCTATTTTAAGAAAATCAAGTTTTCTGATTTATTTTGAGCACTTACATGATTAATGAGTTCGTTTTTTTTCATTCTTATGATTGGATTTTATTATATATATTTATTATACCTCTATTAAGAATACTCAAATTTGATTGGCTTGTTAGAAGGCTTTTAAACTCAATAATGACTCCAAAAAGTACCGTTTACAGCAATAATGACCTAGGAATCATTGCACGTGGGGTATAATGACCCGGTCATTATAATTAATGACCGCTAAAAATGACCTGTTAATCTAAATTCCATTCAATTTTTAAAATTTATGCATACAGTAATGACTGTTCATTACAAAAAATGCCGTTATAAAAATATGTTTAGTCTTTTTATAATATAGATTCGATTGTCCTTTTGATGCGTTTTCATTGAAACTTTCGTTAAAATGTCAAATTCAACGAATGCAGACTTGGCTCTTTTGTACAGTAAAAGTCTACACCAGATTGTCATTATACTCGGAAATGGTATTTGTGAATTTATAAAAATGCATGTTACTGACAATCACAGAGTGTTTTAATAAATCTGCGATGCAAAAACTTACAAGACTTGCAGGCGAAAAGTAAACAACTTCACTAGCGAATCCCGATCCCGATGAAACACTGATAACAAGCATTCTGAGAGTATTGCATTAGCAATACTAGTCCCCTACCGGCAAGTGTAATCTGGTTCCCGTTAAGAATTGAAAATGCCATAATTCCGTCAAAAATCAATGAAGCAGGACGAAATGCAAACTTGACCTATAACTAATCAAGGTAAAGTCAGATACCAAAAATCAGCTCAATATCTGAAAGCGTTTAGAAGAAAATTGCAGAAAACCCCTAAAAATTGAAAAGACCCTAATTCCGTCAAAAATCAATGAAACGGAACTAAATGCAAACTTGATCTGTAACTCATCAAGATACACTCACATACGAAAAATCAGTTCAATATCTGCAAGCGTTTTGGAAAAAAGTGCGGAAAACCAAGTGGGACAGACAGACAGACGGACAGACAGACGGACGGACAGAGTCAGAGGAAACCTATAGTCCCCTCCGGTTTCACCGCGGTAGGGGATTAATAATAACAGTTCGTACATGTAGGTCTAATACACAATTAATGATTTTAGTAATTAAGCCTATAAAAAAATCGTCTTATATCAGTATAATAAAACAATCGATTACCCCTTATGAGTTCAACATAGTGAAATAAGGACCCTCGACCTGGCCCACTCGCTGACCTGATCTGACCTCGGCCGCTACGCGGCCTCGGTCAGGTCAGGTCACCTCGTGGGCCAGGTCTCGGGTCCTTATTTCACCATGTTGACCTCATAAGGGGTAATTAATTGTATAATGATGTAGTTGGCTTTCCTGTGGTAAGAAAAAATGAATCTTCGTTCTGCCTAAAACAATTCAAAGTGATCTCTGCCCTTAGTCTTCCACTTATTTATACGCTGTACATATTTCTTCCAGGTTGTGACCCTTTTTGTACGATAGTTTTACTGACTGTTCTTTATTTGCGTTCTGCTTTGACTGGACTGTTATAGTGCTGTTTTTATGTTGAATTGTAAAAAGTTTGATATTTCGAACCCTCATTGTGAAATGTTTTGCTTTTTTATTCCATTCTACATTCACTAAATTAGCTATGTCAACTGTGAATCTTTTTTTTAAAAAAAATATTAAGGTGGAATATTTAATCAAACTTTTATTTAATGGATGTTTAAGTGACTGTCATTTCTTTTGAAATACAGTTTCAGCATGGAAAGACTTATATAAGCTATTTATTGTATACATGAATGCAGTTTTTCAAAACATTTGGATACCCATATTCAATTTAATATTACTTAAAATGCGAGGTCAAGAACATATAAATAACTGTTTTCTACAAGTGTATAGGAAATCTTGATACATTTCATTTGTTTGTTATGGAAAAAAGGTTCCAAATTTATACTTGATTTTCTTCATTTTTATTGAAAATTTAAAACACATTTTTGGTTGTTTACCAAAAACTAAATCCCGAAAATAATTGAAAAAAAATGAGTTTTAAAAGGTCCATGCATCTATGAATTTCCAAACAAATCATTAAACGTGGCAAATGTAGATATACACGACAAACTGATTAACAGTCTTTTTATTCATTGAAGTTGGGTGAGATACTGTGTTTTAGTGATGACGGGATTATGGAGAGAAATAAACAATTATATGAGTTACTGAGCTATCAAAATCTTCATTGCATTTATAAAATACTTTTTAATGAAAAAAGTCAAAAACAAGTTCAAGGAGAAGTCCAAATGAGCACACCAGAATTATTCCGCTAAAAAGCCGATCACTGAATTTCGCACATACACATGGTGGCTCTCTGAAGTTCTGTCTGCTTTTTTCCAATTCTGATGAAATTTTAGATATTCGTATTGCAGGCTCAACAATTCCATACAGTGCCTTTAAAATTTGAACCCACGAAATCAGTTCAGAAGTGTTCACAGCAACAATAACTGCTAAAATTATTTGAGGAAAATCTTCAAGTGTAGTGGAAATTAATGAAAGCGTCGGTGTACAGTCATTTTCTTCTTCATCATCGCTGCACGCATCACACGACTGGCTTATGAATGTAAAAACAAATAAAACTGTTCCCAAAATAGCAAAACCTTGAATAGCGCTTTTTACGTTCTTTTCAATAAAAGATGATTTGCTGACTTCGTAAAAAAAATCCCAATCCAAAAAGAGGTCGATAATTTCGGATACCATTGAGAGCACAAATATTCCAAGTTTCTTCTCACTACACATCTTCTCGAGTGTGTGACTCTACAGTTAAAAAAAACACCTTGAACATACCGTTAACTTAAGATTTTCTTAAATCAATTAAATTGTAACCCAATGTGTTTATTTCACATCAAGGTACATTTATTGGGTTAGGGGACAAGACATTTTATGAAAAATAAATTCTAAAAGTATGGTCTTACCTTATTTAAATTGACGACTGTAAACGTCTACCGTGCTTTTTCGAAAATCCAAGTCAGAGAACTTAAAATAGGCTCGGAATTTCAGAATGGGTTTTTTTTTCTGTAAATAGAACTGCGATCTATTTTTATATCAAACTGGAAAGAGTCTCTTTGATATATAAATTTCCAGATTCTGACACTTCTTCGAAAACGAACCGAAAGTAAATGCTGTATTCGATCATTACTTAAAATTAGGTTTCTAAAGTGATAATAGCCTGAATAAAGCAAAGGTTCATTGAGTTTAAGATTTGATCGGTACAATTATAATTTCTTATTCAAAGAATAATGCATGTACTTATGCTTACTATAGACAAATGAACACACACACACACACACACACACACCTTTGCAAGGTACAGGAAATTAATATTAAACTACAATTCGGTTTACAGTTATTAATATTAACAATCAAATACATCATACATTCCATTGAATATATGATTGTCTGCCGTAACAACATTTTATTTAGTTTTCAGCAAAAGATACAAGTTAACTTCATTCATATATCACAAGCAGGCGCGGATCAGGAATTGAAGTTGGGGGGGGGGGCGCAGAAGTAGGCAGGGGGTCTGGGTCCAGGGCAAAGCTCTGGTGGGGGCCCAGGGGGCGAAGCCCCCGGAAGCTCCTGGATTCTAGAGATTTTGTAGGGTAAAAATGAGGTCTACCGAGTAGACATTTTTTCATTTTCTTGACGAAACTATGATTTACGCTAACTTTGACAGTTTTTTTTTGGGGGGGGGAGGGGGAGGGGCGGGTGCGCCCCCCCCTTAAATCCGCCACTGAGTCAAGTATAAGATAATTATGTTTACCGAATTTTAAATTAGCTTCAATAAGATAGGCTTGGGGTAAAAAGCTGAGTGGAGTGGAGTGGAGTCTTGTGGAGTCATGGAGTGGAGTCTGTATTATAACAGTACAGAAAGTTTTAGAACAAAACAATTTCTCTCCCCTGCAGTTCATTTAGGATTTGTGTAACAAGAATGAAACAAGAAACAAAAGAAATCTGTGCGGCCAAAAAGCTATTGACCTTTAAATGTCAAACAGAGAATCACCTAAAAATGTTTTTTTAAAACAAAGACTAGGTAATACATTAACAACATCTAAACTAAGCTCAGATATATGACCTTGCTCGCCTATCCAAAACAGACAAATCTATTAAGAGGTGTTGACAGCTTTATAATATCAAACAGACAAAGAGTAACAACTGCACTGCGGAACTGATGACAATTGAATTACAAAGGCACATATTTTTAGTTTTTACTATAGAAGTGCAACCTACGCTCTTTGTTGATATTTGAAGGTTACTATTTTTTCTCCTAATTCAGTTGTTTTATATTTATTTAACACACATGTATCTCCCTTTTTCTGGTTAAATAAGGAAAAATGTTACAGAATCTAGGTGTATAGCCTACATGTATTTGTCAATTAGAAGTCTATCATAGTTAAATGTCCAGGATTAATTATAAGACATAAAAAGGAAAATATTTATCGAAATATACTCAATAGTTCGGTTTTTTTTTTTTTTTTTGTTTTTTTTTTTAATTTTTTGTAAGTAGAGATTGTGCGTTTTAAATATTGATGCAATATTTACTCTTAAAGTTTTTACGTAAAGTTTGTTTCTTGGGGAGGGGGCTGTGTTATAAATTTCACCAATATTTGAACAAAGAAAAGCTTATTTTATAGATGTGATTCAAAACAGAAATTATATATATGATAAGTAATACTAAAACATTTTTATACATATTACCGGTATTACATCCTTTCTGTTGAGTTATTGCTTTCTTTGTACTTTGCTGATCAATGTTTCATACAGTCTATCAACTAGTTTATGTATCACTGATGCAGCTGTTTGATAGTTTGATATAAACAATGGTGAAGACTTTCTGACAGAATTAATTTAATTGGAGTATGGGAACTTTAAAAGAATGTCGATCCCCATTACGATGTGCTGAAATATATTTGGTTCCTCTTTTTTTTTTTTCCTTTATATCATTACATTAATTTTTTTTTAAATTTTGTTTTTGTTGTTGCTGAGGCTGCCAATATTTTCCTTAGTTGGTACATTATATACCTTATAACTAGTATTATCCCCTCACAAAGGAGTTGGGGGGAAATAGTAACACGCTTTCGTGTGTGCGTTTGTGAGTGTGTTAGTTATTGAGTGGTGTGTTAAACAGAAGTGACGTAATTTGTATCGGCATTGATGTCGAATGTTGTCTTGATTTAAAGATATACTCTTTGAGATGGGATGCTCCACTTTGCGGTGCCCTTGTTTAACTTAAGTTTTATTTTCAAAAAATTCTTACAACATTTACCAGGGGCATGTTTTACAAAACTTATGACTTACGACTAAGACCAAACACTTTAGATGATGTTATTTCTCATTTTGTGTAACTATTTACATATCTCCCTTTTTGGGATGGGGGCAGGGGTGGTATTGGTAAATTGCAGGAAACACTACAGAAGCTTAGATGTATAGTCATGGCAGTTGAGATTGAAAAAAAATTATTCTTGTCATTGAACACAATCCCCCTCCTTTCCTCTCTTATTTCTGTATGCCCCAGCTATAGCTGATGTCTGTGATCACTGATCAGATGCTTGGAAACTTCCTGATTTCAGATTAAATGATACAATTAGTCAGAAACCTGTTCATGTTGTATGAACCATATTGACAATGAAGTGAATGAATGACTGAGTAATGAAAAAAAATCATGACCTTCAAATGTCAACTCATCAATGGGAAAAGCTTTTTATTTTGGGTAACAGAGACTAGGTGACCCACATCCTCTCCAATCCCAACAGAAGTCTTGACAGATTTAATTACTGCATTAGAAATGCTTACCCAGTTGTTGCTTGTAAAAACAAATTTGCTTAAAAATTAACTGAACTAAATATAACTGGTTTTTGCATTTGTCAGAAAAAAGAATCTTAATTTACAGCTGGGCATAGTTTACAATTTGGAATCTATATAAGAATTACTGTACAGTAAAAAATATAATCACACATTTAATACACAATAATTTTTTCAAGTTCGACATTACCGGGTCACATACATGTACGTACTTGTAACCTAATAAAAATTTCATCATTATTCAGGAATGTCCACTGGGTTATACTTTTAACAACAAACATGGGATGTAGTGAAAAAAGCATTTAACAAAGGCACCGCAAAGCGGAGCATCCCCACGCAAAGAGGCACCGTGTAATTCATGGACTGGAGGCATGGAGTGGAGTTATGGAGTGGAGGCTGGAGTGGAGTTTGGAGTCAAATTTTGGAGTCTGATTTTTTTTTTAAATTTGACTTTTATCCCCTCGCGCAACTTGTTGCGGAGGGGATATAGCATCGCTACTGTGCGTATATGTGTGTGTTAGTGTGTTAGTGTGTCCGTTACAGCTTGTGGGCAAGATTTAAAGAGAACATTTGCACTATCATTTCTCAGTCTTCACATACTTATGTGGCATTGTAAAAGGACGAACCCTATTCATTTTCAAGTTAATCAGTGAAATAGTTCTGAAAATATCGCGTTTTAACTACCTTCAAACCCTGCAATTTTATGTATGAGTTGACAATACTCACTTCCGGTAAATTTAACAGGTTAAAATTCGGGTCGTTTCGATAGAGCCGCTTCGGTAAGTTCTATTTTGTATTCGCGTATTGTCATATTATTGTGCGTATCTTGAGAAAGTTTGTATGAATTAGAAGTGTCATCGCTGTCACCGAGTAACTGAAATAATTTGATGAACGTCGCGGTTTCAGTACCAAATCACCACACGTGTGTGTTTACAATAGAGGCCTGTAGCTGTGGAATTTAATTTGAGGTGCACATAATTCTTGAAAGCTATAAATTTATATAAACTTTCACAAGTTTCATTGACATCTCAACACCGGTATATTGTCATTTTTCACTACAAAAAAATATTTTCAGACTTGATGCATATTGCATGCTACTCTGAGGTTTACTCAGGTAGGTAAATTAATGAAATTTAGAGCATACGTGATATGTTTCTGCTAGGAATAAGGGGAACTGACCAATCACGTATGCTTGCTATGACCCAACCTCCCCCCTGATATCCACCTTGAATTTTGATAAAATCTAATTAGTGTTGCAATACATTTTAATTTCGATCTTTACCTTATTTTAAACTTTATATATATAGTAATACTGGGTATATAACCCTTGATTACTAGGCCTAGATGATTGTATCTTGTGTAACGTCCCTCTTGAGAATTTTTCTCTTGTATGGAGAATTGCCATTACCGGTGAAGTTCCTGGCGCGAGGGGATGCTCCGCTTAGCGGTGCTCTTGTTGCTATTTAGAACAAAATTCTTCAGGTGACAACTCTGTAGTCTTATTATATTCCCATGTTGCTATAAAGCACCAGCTATTGCAACGTTTAACATAACTCCTGTTACTAAAATTAGATTACGAATATCTTGTTGAATCACCTTAAAATCTGCTCAAAAACAGACAAATGATGTTTCTTTCTACTTTTTTAGATGGTGTCATTCATGCCCGTTTGATACTCCGTAATCCATATTAAGGTATTTTTCAGCTCCTTTGGCCTGAAATTTTCTGATTGTTTAAGCAAATATATTCTTTCTCGCAATACCCCCCAAAATAGAGTTACTGAATGTGAGCTTTACATTGAACAATCTTGGTATAAATATGAGATTTAATTTGTCTTACTGATGTATAGAATAAAGATACAAAATTCTTCAGGTGACAACTCTTTAGTTTTATTATATTCCCGTGTTGCTATTAGAAGTGATGCATGTGTTCCTTGAAAAAGTATAGATGAACATTTTAGTTTATATTTCAGTAATATAAAACTAGAAGTATTTCCATAGGACATGAATGCCCCGTCTAGTGTATATTAGTAATGCAACATGAAATTTGTATTAGTGAATGAAGTTTGAAGCGAATATCTTCTTTCTTAAAGAAACTTCTTTAGTTTCTTTTAAATTGAAATCTGAAAAAAATGGATATAGATGATAAATTTTCACCAAATTA